CATGGTGAGTCTCAGCTCCAGATGGTTTTTATTCTCATGTGGGTTTTCACGCTTTCGCAGATCGGCATCAGTGAGGTCAGAGGTTGTGGTGAATTTGGGTCTGATTGGAAGCTTTTGTCAAGGGAGCGTTTTTAGAGCAGCGAGCGTGTTGTGGTAAGAAAACAAAAGTTGAACTTGTGCTCTGATAACAGCGTGTACAATCCTTAAAGATGAACAGTTTATGTTACAAGTTTGGTGTGAACAGCAGGCACATTAAGCTACTACGATTGATTTAGTCACAGCAATGTGAGGAAACGTGGATGTGAAGGAGGTTGTTATTGGAGAATGAAGTCAGAATGAAAGGTAAAAATTCAAATTTACTTTGCTAAAAGCTAAGTCTGGAGTGTTTTAGGGCACTGGTAAATTTCCTGCTGTTACTGAATTCCCTCCACAAGACTAACAATCCAGCAGTTTTTGAATCTCCTGCCCTGCGTGGTGTTTAGCTTGCAGAGTGGCTTTAGAGCGACAGAAACCTCCTTTTGCAGGTGCAGTTTTCCTGCCTAGGTTAAAAGACGAAGCATTAGGTGCTTTTTGTTTGGCTGTTTGAAGGTAAATGTTAGTTGGACTAACTGCTGGAGTTTACAGACGTGCTGGTTACGATGTGGTTGACTTTTACTGCTCCTGGAACCTGGAACACCTGAAGTTGTCCACCTCGATTTCTTTGAGGGATTTTAAACATTTGATAAGGTCGTTAGAAAAATCTCTTCTTGTCTTTAGTATTTTACCTTGTTTTTTAAGGCACCTTGGTTTAATTGCTATTGCACTACTTTTTGTTTTAATAGCTTTTTATTGTTTTATATTGCTGTCTGTCTAAAACAGGTCTCTCTTGTAAATGAGTCCTTGTGACTCAATGAGACTAACCTGTAGAACTAAAGGTTGACTGAATGGTGTAAGTTTCTTTGCTTGTTGGCCTGAATGGAGTATCTCTTTCATACATGTAGCTGTGGGTTAAACCGAGCAAGGACAGGCCTGTCAGCAGTTCTGCTGTGGTGAGGTGGGTTTCTGGACACCAAGCCTCATTGTGCTGACCTTGCTTGGCCCTTCTCATTGTTTCTAAATGTGGGCTCTACTGTAGCTTTTGGACAACACAGTTGTGTTTTGGGAGTACAGACGATTTATGCACATGCGTGTACACTACAGCTCACTAAAAAGAACAGACACCACTTAAATCTGAATTCAACTAGATGGCACACAACAAACAAACATTTTAAACAGTAAGAAACCAGAAGTAGATTTTCTGCCACAACAAAACTAGCAGTTTGTTGAGTTTAGGGCTGCAACTAACGATTATTTCAATAATCGATTCATCGGCCAATTAGTTTTTCAATTAATCCATGAATCGGCAAAAACAACGTTTTAATTTCCACCTCTTTATTCCAAAATTGAACATTTGACTGACATAGCAATTCACACAAACAACAGGTTGCTATTTGACTATTCTGTTAGTAAAATATTGAATAATAAAAAATAAAAGTGAGTCAAATAGCTTAAAAAAATAAATGTACACAAAAATATATACAAATGTGTCTTTATACCTGCAAAATATGTAGCTACTTTGTAAAATGTGTCCTTGAGGGAATAGTGTAACCTGGATTAAAAGTGTGGATTATTGTAACCTGGATTAAACGTGTGGATTATTGTAACACACACACACACGCATAAATAAAATACTAATAAATTACTTTAATTCCTGTTTAAATGCAATTCATCCTGCCATACCTGCAGTG